GAACAGAAGGATTTATGGCTTATTAAAAGACCCAAAAGGGCATATAGATACATAACTGGCTAGACTTGGTTATTTTTTGCCTACCAAGACCCCCAAACCAACTGACCAACAAAAAACAAAATGAACACAAGGCTGTGCACATAGGAGAATGAGGATTTAACAGATGTAACATTTGCTGTTTTTACCAGGTTTAAAAAGATGAGGAAAAAAATGCTAAATTAATTCAGAAAATCAATTTTTTTTCAGAGCATTTCCATTTTTTAAGAGGAGAACAACTGCTGGGAAGTGCTTGAGAACAAATACATTCGAACAAATATTTCTTCATTTGTAAATTATCTTGCCAAAATTATTGGGCTATGTGACTACTCAAATTAAATAGTAATTAATTAGATGTAGACATGGCTGTACTTCCTACCTCTACTTGAATTGATTAGTAATCATAGTCCTATTGTTTGACACTATGACCTTGAACAAACATCTCTCCCTACATATTAATGCCTTTTCTAGATAAAGCAAGAAAGGATTCAGTAAATAAAAATGTTATAATTATAAGGCTGTAGAATGGCAGGGTATCTGCTATCTAATACAAAGAAGTCGAGGCACTAATTATTCTAATTGTGCATGCAAAAAAATAAATGTAGTACTGCACTATTGTTTGGATCATATGTTTATCAGTCCAGCTTTTAATGATTATAGGGCTTTTCCAAAAACCTTGGACTTTTTATCTAGTGTCTATTGCATCAATGCACAATACTTTGCTTATTATTCTGTATAAAGTCATAATGCTCCTTAAGATGCTGCCACAGTATGTTGATCCTACGTGGTGAAAATCCACTTTTCCTTTATTAAGCTTGATCATATATATGTTACTGTAAATGCTCGAACTATGGTAAATCCTAAGATCTTCCAGTAAAACCTAAGATTTACCAAATCTTTGTGGTAAAAGTTCGAAATGTTCTGCGATCATTGCTAATTTCGAACTTTTACCAGCATTTACTTGGTATATTTTAGGTTTTACCTTAGAGACATGGTAAATGTTGAAAAAATAGTCCCCACTTTTCGCACTGCACCACGTCGTCGCCTTCGCTCACCTCATTCCATCGTTTGACAGGTTAGAACACGCACGTTAATTCTCATCTTGTTTGAGATTTTTTTGTCTAAAAGTTATTTATGAATCAAGATGAGTATGAAACGGAGATTTTATGAAATAATGGACGGGCTCGTTGCAAGCAAGAAAGACAATAACTTTTATCTTAATAGGGAGAAATACGCAAAGTGTTTGGAGGAAGTAAAAGCTGCAAAGAACATGAAAAAGAAACAAGCTGTTCATTACAGGTGTATAAAGCGTTACAGCATTTTGACTATAGGTGGCGAAGAAAAACTAATTGCACCTATGAAGGAGGAGGATGGAGAAATAAGATATTACATTTGTTACGAGGACTTGATCAATATTCTCGAAGAAACACATGTTGCTGTTGGCCACGGTGGAAGGACACGGATGCTTAAAGAATGTAACTGCAAGTATAAAAATGCAAGTACAAAAATTTGAAGCTATGTCAACCTTGCTAAAAGAAACAGAAGACTTTGAAAAAGGGGATTGTCGTCAGACCTATACTTCACAGTGAAATGAACTCACGCTGTCAGGTTGATCTAATAGATCTACAAACTACCCCAGATGGAAATTATAAATTCATTTTAGTTTACCAAGACCATCTTACCAAATTTGTGATCCTTTATGCACTTCAAACTAAATGCGCTGTAGAAGTTGCATGCCATCTTTTGTTAAAGAAGAATGTTATCACCATCCTTACTTACAATTATAACTCTTTTTAAGCAAAGAATCTTTTGTAGCTTCATCTAGAAGAAACTTTAATATGCAGCAAGAGATGTGTTTGTTCAAGGTCATATAGTGTTGGTAGCTGTGAGTCTGTATATAAAGTTTTACCATTATATTTAATTCTGTGTTTTTTTTTGTACTGAAGAAATTGTACTGAACAAACTACCACCTAAACAGAGGCCAGTTTTTCTATACAATGTCCAGGAGTTGTCACCCTTGACAGGTCATTTACACTTTGTATTGCCATATCCATTAATTGACACCACCAAATATTTACTTTGTCATTTTTCTCCCTCAGTATTTCAATTAAACAGTCTATTTATGGTTATATCTATTTCATTTGAAGCCTTGGTATGTGTTATATGCTTTTTATTGTTTACTATTAAATTACTTCTTAAATCAATTACATTTTTCTGGTAAATAATAGAATTTACCAGAAAAATGTAATTGATAGAATTTACCAGAAAAATGGGTACTGGTGTTAATTACTAAAAAAATATTTGATTTAGCAATGATTCATTCATTCTATTCATTTAGAAAAAATTATAAATGTTTGAATTTTGTTTAAATTTCTGGATATTTACAAATTTCTAGTTTTTTTAGTTAATGAAAGTACTTAAGAATGGAATGAATTTGGAGAAAATGTAGATGCTGCCGTTCCTCCTCTGGTCCACCAGTGGCCAATTGGATAAAATCACTGAACTTTGTTAATTATGAGTTTGTGCCTAATCAATGGGCAAGACAATGTTTACCCATTGTCTTGCCATTGATTAGGCACAAACTAATGCTTAAATAGGAATCAGCTTTTTAAAGTAATTTCTTCAATATTGCAATATGTAAACATTGATTAAAAGGAGGTGATTTGCTTGCTGATTTGTTAGTTATGGCAATGCAATACTTGGGCAATGTCGTAAGTGGCATCCACTTAGGAGATTGCCTTCTGGAGTCTTTTAAGGGCTACTGGCTCCTATTTAGGCATTAAAGATGTAGAGAAAACTCAGAAAACTCCACTTGTTCAGTTTGTCTTGTGAGGCACGAATCCACAACCAAACTATCAATGTTCAGGGAATGGAACTGCTTGGCCACTGGTGGGCAAGGTGATTTGCCAATAATACATTATTGTGAGCTGCCGGGGAGGTTGGGAAGTCCTCTCCTTCCCGGTGACCTACTTTATTGTCAAGGATGGCGTTTTGTTCAGTTATGCGTTACGCGAGTGGAGGAGAGTCGGAGGGGTCGACGATAAGACATTGGCAAAGTCGAGTAACGACACCATTTAAAACAAAACAACGGTTTATTTTACTAGCTAACTAAATAAAAATTTTACAAAACTTCATAGACTTTGCGGATGAGAGAGAGAGTTTACAATAATAATCGTTCATACCTCTTTGCATATACTAATGGGATATTTTCCCGTAATGTCGTCCTTTATGGATTCTGAGCGGTGACACAAGTATAGGTCGGCGATGAAAGTGTAAGTCTGCAATGGGGGTTGTAGGGCTGCGATGGAGAAGGCGATGTCTGAGTTTGACGTTCGGCGATTCCCCCGATGAGGGGAAGGTGTCGGGCTTTTATACCTTTTGTGGTGCGAAAATTCGTCAGGTGACCATTTGTTTTAATAGTTGTGGGGTTAAAGGTGGTGATTGAATGACAACAATATGACGAATTTCGCTGATAACTGTAAACTATATATGGTTTGATCGTGAGAATGTTTATAGTTAAACAAAAAGAGTTATAATTCTCTCATGTACTTTATATTTCGTTTTTGTAGGATGAAATTCCTTTGGTTGAGGGCATCTTTACTTTAAATTTATTAAACTTTTAAAGGATTAAATGCTTTTATTAACTTTGAATTTCACATCATTGTACAGAACAGAAAGCAGTCAAAATGGTTCAAAAATTGTACACATAATTAAGGAATGGTCACTGATGTAATTCAGATTCATCTTTACTGAAGACAGAAGTCACAATGAGAGGCAGTATTCAATCATTCAATCACAACAAACTGGCTTGTTCCATTTGACAACCAGATACCCAAGATGTGAGATATCTAGGGTAACTACAAACTGGCTCTTTAGAAATTTTTCATAAATAATATGACTGATATGTCAGATGATCTCATCTCTGACCACCTTACCGTTGTTACTGTTTGCCTCACTGTGGCAATGGTAAGATAGTCGAGAATGAATCAAGTGTACGGTTGATATGAACAAAGGCATAAATTCAGTAATTAAATGGAATAAAAGTGTTGGTAATAGTGAAAGTTTAGTTTGTTTCTCGTCATTTGTTTATCTTTTTGACTTGTATTGTCCTCGAAGTTGGAAGTAGATCGAGTATTTTTTACTTGTTTTTAACTAAGAATAATTTTATTTTTAGTGGTTATTGAACAAAGGCTCTTTTCATGTTTGTACAATGAAAAATGTTTAAAAATTTACAGTTTAATTCGATCTGTCGATCTGAGTAAGATTTTAATCAATAAGATGGAAATAATATTTGGAATTTATATATTTTTATTTTATTAGGTGTCAAGAATGAAGATGAAATTGTCATCAAAAAGGAACCGGAGTGGGACATTGATTCAAACACTGATCATTTGTCTTGTTTGCAATTTGAAATCGATAGCTCAAGTATTAAAGCCGAGCACAACAGTACCACTATGGAGAATGATCTGCCTGTAAGTACATTAATTATTTTGTAGTAGTCTAGTTTTTTTAATTTATTTTCTTGCATCGAACAGTATTAATATAACTTTAATAATAATCAGTTGTGCTTATTGATTTTTAAAAGTTGTTTGAATGAAGAAAGAATTATCAAATGTAATTAAAAATTGAAAAGCATTTAGATGAGGAAACTAAAAATTATAATTAATTAGACACATTTTTGGTTGTTGTTCTGGTTCTTCGATACCCAAACAATAGCCAAAAATGTGGCTATTTTACTGCANCTACACATAAACGAGTAATTAAAGCAAATTTCTAAAAATTATGATGAGGATTCAGAGATGCCGTCAGAAGACATTTTAAAATTAATTGTCCGAATTATGAGACTTTAAAAATAAAAACGAACACTACGTCATTAAAATATATATATTATTTATATTTATTTTTTAAAATGCAAAATACAAGAAAGAAACTTTTATAAATTAGGTAACTAAATTAGCGATTTTTTGGCTATTTCCTGCCAACCTTCGTATGGCATTTGGCTGAAGTTGATCGATGAGCTTCGTTAATCTGGCAAAGTGGAGCATTTGTGTTCTTGTTTCCGCTCCGCGTGGATGTAATTTTAAATGTTCCAGTTTTATCCTTAATCCTAGGCCTAATGCAGCTGAATACATCTACATTTTCTGGAAGAGATATAAATTCATTATAAATGATTCTAGAGATCCTACATAATTTTAAACAAAGGATTCGGAATTAGGCCTACTCGAGCATAAGAAGGAACAAGAAAGCACGAGGTATCTAAATTTTCATTTTTCAATCCACGTGCATCGGTTCGATATTCGTTCCAAAAGTAATTCTGTCTTCTCTTATAGACAGATAAATATTAATTATATATAAATTTAAAATTAGTTCGCGCGATTTAATATTGTTTAATGGATTTTTTAGTGAGAATCAGTTATGCTAAACATATCTTCATTTACTACAGTACAGTATACTCTTTCTAATTTAAAATATTCTTAACTAGAACTAAGTTTATAATAATAATTTTTGTTTTAATTATAATAACTGTGACTTTTTTAAGTATTATACAGTAATTACTTTGAATTAGTGACAGTGCAATATATGTTGTGTTACTCAATTGGGTTAAATTCCAGATACGTATACCGTCATGGCGACTCATCTCTGATTCCAGCAAACAAAAGAAAGGAAACAGTGGGGACGCACGTTCTAACCTAAACTATTCTAATAAATTAGCATAATTATTACCAACCAAATTATTAGAATAGGTTAGGTTAGGTTTGAACGTGCGTCCTCATTGTTTCCTTTTGTTTGCTGGAATCAGAGATGAGCCGCCATGACGGTATATGTATCTGGACTTTAACCGTAAATTGTATACTTTAATTTTAGAAAGGCACAGATAAGCTCCAGGAATGAGTTTTAAATCATTTTTGGCGTTCCCTTTCTGTGCATAGAAATGTTTGGATCGTTATATATTATTGTGTACTTTGTGTGGCAATGACACGCAATCCAACAACAGTATTAATTGTCAAGGAAACTAGTTGTATTTGAAAAATTACTATTATTTTAATGGAAGATACTTTCAGAGCCTGATTTTAATTACAAACAGCAATATTTGTAGAAATTGTTTTGAAATTTCAACCCAAACCTGAACTTATGGACAAAGCCTTTGTCAAACACTTGTTTTCTTGAATATTTTCTTATTTAATGTTTGGTCATTTTATATTCTGTAATAATAATTGATAAGTTTGTTTTAGCAGTAATTGTTTATAAGCCATGCATCATTTTCTTTCTTAATTTTATTTATAATAGATACATACATGCTAGACATNAAAAATTAATAATATAATTTTCAGATTAAAACCAAGTAAAACTACACTCTCTTATCAGACTTAGACTGCGTACACACTAGGCGTTTGACGAACCAAGAGTTCTGCATAGGTGTACACACTCAAACGCACTTTTGGCCAAGCGCGCGCGTTAAACATGTGTTTATAGATTTTTCTTAAAACGCGCGTTTTGCGGGTGTCAGCCGAGCGCTTTGAGATATATTTGCTGCCATGTTACTGTACATTCAATTGCGTGTTTTCGGGTAGAGTGGATGTACTTTGGCCGAAATGGAGAACGATCATTTTGATACTGATCTATTTATTGATGAAATCTAAAAGAGACCAACCATTGTCAAAGGATTTTATAGATATTTTAAAAGAATTAAAAAACTTGGGTTTATTTTGTCTTAGTTTTGGATACAATGTCGCAAACATTTCACGTGTCAGTCTATCTCGTAATACTGGGTGCACTCAAAATTCTCTATGGGTGCACTCAAAATTCTCTTTGCCTCTGCCATCGTCTTTTATAGTGACGATGGAGGAGGGACACACAAGCAATTACTTTCACGTCCATTTCCAAACTGAGCCAGTGCGTATGCTCCACTAAACGCTCGTGTAACGCCGAGCTAAAGCCTGGTGTGTACGCTGCTAACTCGTGTTTAATGCAACGCAAAACGCCTAGTGTGTACACAGTCTTAGAGTGTTTTATTTTAGCAGACAAACAAATAACGTCGAAATACTAAATTTTAACTTTAATTGCCAATTACTTCATGTTCGTAAAATCCAAATGTGTTTCACTTACAATAAAGCATCATCAGTGGACATAATGAACTTTAACAATTTCTGTTCCTTTTATGCTGTGCGATTTTTTTCTCAGCATGCGTCTACATTCATTCCTGTATTCAGATTTATTACATTTGCATAATCTATGGTACAAAAATGTTTTATTCTTCTTTTAAAACAATTTTTAATTTTATATAATATTTTGACATTATTTCTATCTATTTTACAATAAAATTTATTACAATGTAGACAATGTGTTTTAATCTAGAAATTATATTAATTTTTAGATTTTACAACAAATTTTTTAATAATAAGAACCACTTTTACTTTTCGTTAGATTTGTTTTAAGAGTGTATAAGAACACTGTTGACTGTTACAAACAGTCAATGTAGTTAATCTTTTGCATGATTTATAATTTTTTAATTTATTTTTTCAATTCAAACTATTGATTTAATCTCCTTGTATAATCAATAATTTAAAATATTTTTAACATTTACTTCAACAATTACTTTAAATTAAGCTAATTATGTTAATTAACATATTAATTAGATTAAAATCAGTCCATTTTTAATTTAGTGATTCGTTTTCTTATTTAGCATCGGGGAATGAGAACGACAGAAGCAACAGTTCGCAGCCCTCGACGTCTAGACCGCTGACTGAAATCGAAGTTATTATAGTTCGAAGTCACGTGAACAACATTGTATCTGAGATAGTTCCAGAAATTAAGGAAAATGAATCTTTAGGCATGAATACTCCACGGCAAAGAAAGCGGAGAAAAAGAAGTCTACCTAAAAGTAAACAAGCCAAAAAAGCCTATTTTCAGAAAGAAAACGAACGTAATAAGTACAAAGCCACGCAAAGAAAATACATTGAAGAAGTTGTTGATTCTTCTCGAGAAATGCAAATTCTTGACAGTGAAGAGGCTGTAGAACGGGTCAAAATTGCCACACCGGGATCAGGATGTGAAATTGAACGTAGCTATCGAGAGACAGGACCAGTGGTAGGAACCTCTTTGTACTGGAGATCAGGTAAATGTGGAGAACCTGCAGAAGGAGCTGGCATATTAAATATGTAAACTCCTTGGATTTTCTATGTCATATTTATTTATCATCTATATTTAATCTATTAACTACTTAAGTATTTGTATTTTAATTTCCATGAGTTTATACCAAGAAATTATCTGAAGTCAGATTTTCACATTTATTGTTAAATTTTTCTACGTTGCTTTAAAATATTATAATCTGTATCTGTTAGATGTCTTATATCATAAATTTGGCTGAAAATATTCAGATACACAATTTGTTCTAGACAAGGATGTGGAGTCGGAGTCGTGGAGTTTTGGTGTTTTAGCCGGAATCTGAGTCGTCAAAAAATCTGCTGACTCCGACTCCCTTTTACTTACCAACTTTTTATGTATATGAAACGGANTGATGTTTCACATTAAATAATACAAATATTAAGATACTCTCTACACATAAACGAGTAATTAAAGCAAATTTCTAAAAATTATGATGAGGATTCAGAGATGCCGTCAGAAGACATTTTAAAATTAATTGTCCGAATTATGAGACTTTAAAAATAAAAACGAACACTACGTCATTAAAATATATATATTATTTATATTTATTTTTTAAAATGCAAAATACAAGAAAGAAACTTTTATAAATTAGGTAACTAAATTAGCGATTTTTTGGCTATTTCCTGCCAACCTTCGTATGGCATTTGGCTGAAGTTGATCGATGAGCTTCGTTAATCTGGCAAAGTGGAGCATTTGTGTTCTTGTTTCCGCTCCGCGTGGATGTAATTTTAAATGTTCCAGTTTTATCCTTAATCCTAGGCCTAATGCAGCTGAATACATCTACATTTTCTGGAAGAGATATAAATTCATTATAAATGATTCTAGCGATCCTACATAATTTTAAAACAAGGATTCGGAATTAGGCCTACTCGGGCATAGGAAGGAACAAGAAAGCACGAGGTATCTAAATTTTGATTTTTCAATCCATGTGCATCGGTTCGATATTCGTTTCAAAAGTAATTTTATCTTCTCTTATAGACAGATAAATATTAATTATATATAAATTTAAAATTAGTTCGTGCGATTTAATTTTGTTTAATGGATTTTTTAGTGAGAATCAGATATGCTAAACATATCTTCATTTACTACAGTATACTCTTTCTAATTTAAAATCTGCTTAACTAGAACTAAGTTTATAATAATAATTTTTGTTGTTTTAATTATAATAACGGTTAAATTTACCTTAGGTAGCCAAAGCTCGTTTCTGATTCCAGCAAACAAAAGAAAGGAAACAGTGGGGACGCACGTTCTAACCTAACCTAACCTATTCTAATAAATTACCATAATTATTACCAACCAAATTATTAGAATAGGTTAGGTTAGAACGTGCGTCTCCACTATTTCCTTTCTTTTGTTTGCTGGAATCAGAGATGAGCCACCATTTTGGCTACCTAAGTTAAATCTAACCCTAAATTGTATACTTTAATTTTAGAAAGGCACAGATAAGCTCCAAGAATGAGTTTTAAATCATTTTTGGCGTTCCCTTTCTGTGCATAGAAATGTTTGGATCGTTATATATTATTGTCTACTTTGTGTGACAATGACATGCAATCCAACAACAGTATTAATTGTCAAGGAAACTAGTTGTATTTGAAAAATTACTATTATTTTAATGGAAGATACTTTCAGAGCCTGATTTTAATTACAAACAGCAATATTTGTAGAAATTGTTTTGAAATTTCAACCCAAACCTGAACTTATGGACAAAGCCTTTGTCAAACACTTGTTTTCTTGAATATTTTCTTATTTAATGTTTGGTCATTTTATATTCTGTAATAATAATTGATAAGTTTGTTTTAGCAGTAATTGTTTATAAGCCATGCATCATTTTCTTTCTTAATTTTATTTATAATAGATACATACATGCTAGACATGTCCAAAACACAGAATATATGAGGGGAAATTCATTTTAAAAAAACTCTATACAGTTAGTGAAACTGAGTTGAGCGTCACCTGTGCGCAGGCAAAGAAAACTGCTTCGGGAAAACATGTGAATCTTTGGGTTGGATACTTACTGAAACACGCTGCTTGTTTTTTTCCTGCGATAATGAACCATAGCTTTGTCACACAAAACTTCAAAAAGTAA